TTAAACTTTTAAATTAACGTGGATAATAATAAATAAATGATAATTTTACTAATATGATAATGATTCGGTTTTAATCTTACCAAAAAACAAATAATGATTCTGTTTTAAAAATATATAAATTTTCTTTGTTTAGTTGTAGATATTGTCATATAAAAAATTCTTAGATCCTCCACTGCCTTAATTTTATGTAAATACCTTGCTTGATATTTAATTTTGATTTGATATCATAACTAATCCTTGCTTTTTTTTTCGGCACTAACCATTGAATTTTTTATACTGCCATTTAATTCTTGCATAAAAAATAATAATTAATAGTAGTGTTTATTATGAATGCAGGTTTGTTTTCCATAAAAACTAGATTGGATTTATGGAAGCACGTCATTGTTTCCAGTGCGAGGAAGCAAATGTCGTATCACTGCTGTTGTGGCTCTTTAGTACTTTCGTTTCTGTTTATGGCTTTGCTTCGGTTGTATGGTTAGTCATCAATCATTGATCTTCTCATTGTTTGAATATTGTTGCATAGGAAAAATCTTCCTTTTTTATGAATCTTTCAAAAGTTGGGTCCATGATATTCTCAGTGATTGATTATGTTTATTGAATATTTGTGTGCTTCCTCTGCTGATATTCTAATTCATGCTTTATTCGTCGTCTTTGATACACTCTGATTAACCATTGTGCACCTCTAGAGTCTAATTTGCAATATTAATGCAAGTCTCTTTAACTTACGGATTATGAAGAGCATCCTAAGATCGTTTAATTTGATTCAGGCTTTATGTGGCTAATGTTTGGTCTTGGATGTGAATTAGTCTATCATGTTTCTTGGAAGGTAGGAAGGAATCTTGATGTTTACCAAAATCCAATGTGCTCTTTTGTAGCTCAGTTTGAAATATGTACTAATTATTGTAGAGGGAACCCGAAACAAAGAGACCATATGTATGATTTTATATGCGAAGAGAAGCTCCGAATTTGAAATCGTCTCCACTCCGGTGATATGTGGCCATGGTGTGAAGGAGTCTGGAGCCATGGTTATTTCAGATTCGGACATAACCGTAATTGTTAAACTAATAAAAATAAGATCAAACGTACCGGATTGATGAGAATTTTTGGTGTTCTTCGTCATGTTCTTCGTCGTATGGATCTAACAAAACAAAAAAAATATATATACCCCAGAATTTTTTTTTGTTTGTTAATAGAGAGAACCCACCAATTTTGTAGCGTTGATTGTGACATCGAATTGTTTGTCGGATGAATATAAGTCTCTAATCCGGAGACTGAAAATGAACCCTAACAAAAACATATATTCATAGCATAAAATTCATAAATAAAAGGTAGAACATCACATAGCTTTTTCTTCAAAGCCAACACATCTCTCTTTGTAGCCGAATTACTCTCCAGTTTGGTATATACTCAAATTTTCCAATGACTTCCTTCTCGAACCTGGAGCGTTTTTGCTTTGCCGGATATTTTTAGGATATGGCTCTTATGTATCTCTTGTGAGTCACTTGATATGTTGTTTAGGTAAAACTTTTGGTTTGAAAGAGAATGATCTACGACAAGCATAATCGGTTATTTGTTATATATGTGGCCATGTTCATATTGCTCTCTCCACAAGCAATTTTCCAGTTTTGTAGCATTCGATATTTAAATTTAAAAGCTTCAATACGTTGTATACATGTGTATGTATGTACATATATGAATTATTCTCAGTTGCACATAGTGGTTTCTAAGGGATAGATACTTGCTCTCTGTAATCCTCTCATTTTTAGTACCTATCTTCAGTGTTTACTTTGCTAAGAGCTTCTTGATAGGCATACATCTTTGCAATCTCAGATCAATATACTACAAATACATATACGATACAGTTAAGAAAATGATATTTCTCTTACAACTTTTTATATGGGTTTTATAAACAAGAGATCAACTGAAGGGTTACGCAGCGACCAATGGCGAAGGTAGAGACAAAGATACTACAATAGGGACGATAAATATGACACGATATATACAAAAGAGATGCCTGTTTCTATACCATTGAAATTTTACGTACATAACTACTTCAAAGAGCAAGATGACTTACTTGATAGGTAAGAGATATGGTAAGAGATTACATTTTTCAATTATTTGTTTCCAACTACGAAAAACTCCAGTGACATACAATCTAAAAGCATGAATATGTCATAAAATCAAGAATACAACAAAAACCAGGAAGATGGGCCCAAATTAAAGTCCGAAACTGGACGTGGGGAACCCACAGACAGTGGCGGTCGGAGCATTACAAATATGAAAGAAACGAGGAAGCGTGAATATGTCATAAAACCAAGAGTACTACAAAACCAAGAAGATGTGCTCAAAGAACGAAACTGGACGTGGGAACCCACAGACAGTGGCGGTCGTGGCATTACAAATATGAAAGAAACGAGTAAGCATGAATATGTCATAAAATCAAGAGTACGACAAAACAAAGAAGATGGGCCTAAAGACCGAAACTGGACGTGGGGAGCCCACAGACAGTGGCGGTCGGGGCGTTGCTAATATGAAAGAAACGAGTAAGCATGAATATGTCATAAAATCAAGAGTACGACAAAACAAAGAAGATGGGCCTAAAGACCGAGACTGGACGTGGGAACCCATGGACAGTGGCGGTCGGGGCGTTGCTAATATATTGTTGGTTTAAATATATAGATTTTTTATATTTAATTCTATTATATATATCAAGATATAAACACTAATAATTGTTTGTGATTCAAAAACACTATTAATTGTTGATTACTAATAATATATATCAAAAGTTATAGCGTTTTACCATAATTCTATATTAATGTCGTTATAAAAATTAGACTCTTGACAAAATTAATTCAATAAATATCCCTAACTTGATAACCCTAAATATTAATTATTAATTCTGGTCTTAATCAACATACAACCCCGCGCTGGGCGCGGGGACCTCCCCTAGTACATAGTAAATAGATATTATTGTTGTGGCTGCTGTTTTGCACTAATAATTATTATTATATATATAGATGATCCAGAATATATGCTGATATTAGATCGCATATGATATGTCTAATTCTCTATATATATATATACACATGTATAATAATGTATACAGGCTACAGCTAGTAAAGGGATCTTCTTCATAGTATATAGTAAATATTTGTCCACCATATTATATAAAGTTACACACAATGACAATGATAACTAAAACGATTTGATTATATTAAAATAAGACCCGGAGTAGAAGTTATTGAATTGGTTGCATTCATGGGACGAATATGCTCGAATCCGAAAAGCATAACTTTCTAAGTATAATTTGACAATTTTATATGATTGTCTTGATATTTAAATTTGATTCTCAGGTTGCTTGAATATTAACACAAAATTGCACGTTAGCTACAATGTCCTTGTCGTAGAGTATATTCTCTGCCTCTGGTTTAGAGAAGACTTTTATTCATAATATAGATAGGGTTAGGTCACTTGATATATTCAAATTTGGACAGTATCTCTCAGAATCTTGAATTAATCTAAAGATTATTTTAATCAATTGTTTATCAGCCGTACAGGTCCTACCATTAGGTTCGCCTTTCCATGTGGCTCTATACATGCTATGTGGCCTTTAGAAACTTGTGTCTCTATCAGATTATTGGTGTGTACAATATAGAAGTAATACTTCTAAGATACTAAAATAAAGATGGTTTGGTTTTAACGAGGTTTATTTTTTTTGCTTTTGATAACAAATATCTACTCAATTTTATGTTCCATTATTTATTTTAGTTTTAAGTGTTACAGTTGAGTTTCTACGGTAGTAGTCAACTCCACTAGAAAGTTTATGTGGTACTTAAAAAACTTTACTGATTTTTTTTTTTGGAATTTTGAATTAGAACAATATATTGATGCAAATTCTTATTTACTTCTATCAATTTATTTATTTCTTAAAAAATATATATATATATATAGTTGCATTTTGAGATAGATTTTCAAGATGTGCAGATTTTTCAAAGGCACTTATAATTAAGATGATCTATCGTTTTCAAGATCGGATCAACCTGGCTAGTCATTCCATGTGCAGAATAAACAAACGAATTAATGTAATTAGTCAAGTATTTTACTTTTGAAATATAATATACAGAGTGTTTTGACGATAGATCCAAATGACCAGGAACCTGATTAGGATTCATTAGGTATAATTTTAAAATAATTAGGGATATGTTAAAGCTTTAAGCATGAGTTAACGTGACCTTTCACACAAGTTAAAGGACACAATGGCTCTTGATACATTTTTTTTTTTTTTTTTTTTTTGGCTCTTGATACTTATTTAAAGAACATTAGTTATGACTAAAACAAGGGGAAAAATACAAGCAATATATTTCATTTAAAAATTCAATATGCTTTTATTGGTCTATTTCTAACATTAACAAATCAGATACATGGGATATTCGAATTGACCTAATTAAGTCGTTATTTAGTAAACTAATAAGAAGAGTACACATATTTATACGACCATACCTTTATCACCTTCTGTACTACACATACATGTCTTAAGTACGTGCTAATCTTGTTTTAATCCTCAGCAAAATGGTTGACATTGTGAAATTGATCCTTTGACTTTTATAATATGAAATCTTTGGAAGATTCTTTCTGACTAGTAACTTGATAGGAACACCGGAAAATGTATTAGTTTTTGAATACGTTTGAAAAGAATGAGATAATTATAAAATAAATGATGTGCAGTGTCATTACATAATGTATATAGCTTCAGACAATTTTGTTTCTGTATATTATTTGAAGCCTTGAAATTCATATTCACTACCTTAAGATATCAAAAACCTTATTATATATTATCTTGGTTCTGACTTCTAGGTTCTGATGAGTTAGTTATAAAAGGCATTTTCGAATTCAGGCAACGAGAATGATTTTCCAACATTTCTCCAACTTTTGGGCTTAATGGGCCAAACTGATTTTGGGTTAACCCCATCTTTTAGTACCTAATGTCAAATGAAACGATAGGCATAAACAAATTATTGCACAATCAGAAACTTTTGATCTGATGGCAAAGAACTGTATCACATATCACACACCTTAAGTCTCTTCTCCAAACTCAAAAGAACCAAACAAAGAATTGATCTGTGAACCTTCTTCTAAGACTTAAATCGAAGTTCTCGTACCAACCTTGTGGGAGTATAAGGAATGAGATTAACAATCTTCGCACCTTTTGGAAAAGGTATCTCTCTATCAATTGGAATCTTCTGTAACATCATAGAATCGTTTAGCTTCTCATACTTAGCCATGTTTTTAGCTACTTCCTCTCTCTCTTTCTTGAATATCGATATCCACTTGTCATCTTTCGACGGCGTACTCTTCTTCGCCGCTGCTAAGGCACGCATGAGAACCCCAACCGCTTCGCCTACTCGATCTTCGGATTCCAGCACTTCCGCTAAGTGTTTTTGGCTCTTTAGCTCGTGTAAAGCTCCCATTGTTGTTACATACTCCTACATTATCATATGATCAATCAATCAAGTAGATATGTTTTTCTTCATCTAGCTTATACAAGCAAATTAAGTATCTTTATACATTCAAGAAACAGAGAATTAAGGCATATGAGTGAACTAAGAACAGTATTTAGATACCAACTAGAGGATTATGGCATAAGAGTAACTTGTTCTTCATGTATAGTTAAATTGTTAGGGATATGCGACTTACGAGAAAGCGGGTCGATAGGTCTTTATATTCTCCATTTGGTCTAGATGACAAATGAGAATAGGCTTCAGAAAGATATTGAGAAATTCCGAAATGCAGTTTCGACAAAAGGCTTGCACTTTTGCCGCTTTCTTCGGCGTTCTCTATAGTTACAGCCTATTACAAAAATGTGTCAATATTAGCATCAAACAAATATGAATTTGATGCAAGAAGCAAAGAAGATCTCTTGTGCAAATTTAAGGTAAAAGTCACTAACCTGACCTTCAGCTAAACAGAGGAGACTCAAACAAGAGCAAAGGGGAGGAGTTAGTTCCGGAAGCTTCCCTGGAGGCAGACAAAGTTTTAATGAAGGAAGAAGCTCATGAGACAGATGATGGAAAACTCCAGATGCTTCTCTGTAAACTGTTACAGATTTTTTAGAATCTGTTGCAATCAGGAGCAAGAAGATTTGAATTAATGAAAGCAAAAATATATAGAAGCAACAACTACAAGAAAAAGACTAACCTGTGGATACTAGTTCCATTGCTCTCTCCCGGAGCTTAACTGCGTAAACGAAAAGAACCATTCCAAGCTCGAACATTATGTTATCGACTTGGAAGAATTTCGGACATGTACGCTGAATCAAGGTCTGAGAGATCAATCCACTACTCCATCTTATCTTAAGATTCGAAACCCGCTTAATCTTATCGGTGTAATGAACCAAGTTAAAGAGTAACGGAATGTATTGTCCAAGTCTATGAAGATCCTGAAGAATCAAAAACAATAATATCTAAGCAACAATCAAAAGTTTAAGGTTAGACATAATTGGTTTAGAACATGAAGAGTTTTATAATTTACCTTTTCACAAGCAGAAGTTAATCCTATTGTAGTTGCATCAGTGACTACTTTTCTGGTTTTGTTTACTGATTCTTCGATAATTTTACGCTTCGAAGTTAAGTCTTTAACTTCTTCTAGAGTAACTGGACCAGCAGCTTGCAACGTTTTCTCGAATACAATCTGATTTAAGGTAAACAATATCACAAAAAATGAGAGAAGGCTACAAAACTAAATAACCTGTCCAAAAATCACAATTCAACAAAAACCCTAAAATCAGAATCGTTCTAGAGATATTCACAAACAGAATCAAAGGAAACTAAGGTTACCTCTTTAGTTTTTGGTTCTGGAATTACGTACTGCATCATCGTCATCGTTCTTCACGCAAACTCTTGATTACGTAACTATTAAGCCAGAATCATGAACAAAATATAAATAAACAAAACCGAGAAACAACAAGAGAAGAATGACTCTAAATTTTTGTTGTGTTTAAACAACGGAGTTTTAAAAAATATTCAGATATTATTTGTAGTTTCCTAATCCTGTTGTGATTTGTGAGTCAAAAAACTTTGTGGAGATCAAATAGAAAAATTTAAGGAAATTTCGTGGAGTTTGAAATAGCGAGCGAAAGTGTGCAAGAGTGGTTGAAACTCATCAACAAAAATTGTAATTAATCGAACAGAAAACGTCAATAATACCTTTGATCAGCATATTATCTATTGAACTTTTCGAGGGAAGTTTCGGTCGCTTCCTAGGTCAACAATTCCTCTGTAAGTACCTTCTACGGCAAGGTTTTGACTTTTGATGAAAGTCTTCTAGTTAAAGACAACGAGCTGATGTGTGTGGAGTATAAACGCACAATGGGCTTGAAACTTGACGACTCAATAAGTGTTAGCGATAAATACCAATTAATTAGTTGACCAATCAAAAATATTCCGAAGTGTTAGCGATAAATACTGTGGAAGTCGATACTAACACAATCAAGATTTGTCTAGGGTTTTATTTTAGGGATACGATAATCGTGAATTCTCAAAGAACAACAGAAACGATTGATACCAAAGATGGTGTTCTTGATATTATTAATGAAAAGATGATTTTGATCGTACAAGAGTTTGATCGTAAAAGAAAAAGGTGTTTGCGCTGTGAGAGCTTTTCGTAGTGTAAATTCTAGAGCGATCTTGCCTGCCTTTGATTGAGCCTTGAGTCTCTTTATATAGGGGTGATAAACCGCCTCTCCAGCGATATTCTCGGAAGATTTCCATTTATCTTGAAGTCGGCTTAGAATATCGCGGATTAGGATAGTTTCCTTATTTTTCGGAGTCTTTGGGAGATTTCCTGATTTGAGTCGATCCTTCTAGATTCTCTCTTATCATTTCCGGGTATATCGGAAATGATCCTTCTTGTTCGGAAATGATACCTTGCTTGGAAATGGTACTTTGAAAGCGAATATTTACCAAGTCTTTAGCTCGGGCGATGATGAAGACTTCACCTCGGAGAAACTCGTGTAATCGGCTCGGGTACACAGGAAGGACTGGCTTGTTCGGGTGTCCCCGAGGCGATGGGCTCAGAAACTCCCGAGGCGAAGGGCTCGGGTGCTTGAGGCGTAACGTTCAAACATCCCCGAGGCGAAGGGCTCGGGTGCTTGAAACGTCTTGTTCAAGTATCCCCGAGGCGAAGGGCTCGGGTGCTTGAAACGTCTTGTTTCAAGTATCCCCGAGGCGAAGGGCTCGGATACTTGAAACTTCTTGTTCAAGTATCCCCGAAGCGAAGGGCTCGGGTACTTGAAACTACTTGTTAAAGGTATGCCCGAGGCGATGGGCTCGGGTATACTAAATCGATTAGATGGATATCCCGAGGTGAATGATGCGATACCCCGAGGTGATCACTGAAAGACTCCCGAAGTGTTCTAAGTCTGGCTCGGCGCTAAAGGATGGAATCCGACCCCAACAAATACCAATTAATTAGTTATTTACCTCATGCTTTTGTGGAAAACTACGTTGCCTAAATTATCTGGACTATTAAAAATTTACGTAACAATTTTTAAATTTCCTTTATGCACCTGTACATCGTCATCATAAATTCTCAGTTATCTAGTTAACCTAAATTTCAATTGATTCTCATCTACAATGGATATATTTAAACTAAACAAAAAGCAAAAACACCCACAAATCATAAGAAAACATGAAGCCAAAATTAAAATTAGTAACAGAGAAACAATGGACAAACTCAGTACGGTCACTTACGTGTAAAGTAAAAGACAACACACAAGAAAGTATCGTTTACAAAACCTCATGAAAACCAAAGACAAAGTGTTTCTGTTTTTCATCTTTTTTTTAGCTAGACATCATCACATTGTCAATAGATTGGAGAGCTTGATTTGCGAAAAACCGAACATCAACGTCCGGGTCTTCACTTAGCTCCACCAAGCATGGCCGTATCATGTTCTCCACAACCTTCCACAACCAAAAAAGTTACACATTTGAATATATGGACGTTTAGAAAATCATAAGCTGTTTCTTTACTTGTGAGAACCAACAAGGAATCTATACTAACCGCTTGGTCGACTATCGGAATGAGAGATTGCATCATTTTGGCGACGTTAAATTTGATGTTTGGAACTCTGAAAGAGGAGGAGAGAGTGGTTTTTTTACTTAGCTATTGGGAGTAAAGAATTGAATCAATGAGATTTCATGTTTTAAGAGAGAGAGAGAGAGGGACTTGCCTGTCTTTAGATGCAGTTATCACCGCAGGCAAGAGTTTGGAACATGTGATCTCGGATCCCATTACTGGAGCGAGAAGCGATACTGCACGAAGAATCGTCATCCGATATAGATAGTGTGGGTTGTTAATCATCTCTAGAACCTGCACAAGTAAATATACTTATATAACCAATAGCAGAAATGATCGATTTGGATCAAAAAATATACCATACACTTAAGATTTCTAGACAAACCTGAGGAACTATATGCTGCATTGCCCATTCAGGACCAAACTCTTCAGCAAGACGCTTAAGATTGTTTGCAGCAGCTTCACGGATTGAGTGAACCTGACAATTTGCAAATTTTCAAAATTTCAAGCAGTAGAAAAGACAGATTTAATTATCTGATGATTCAAGTAAGGTAGAGAATGAGGAACCTTGTCTTGTAACCATTGCATGCAAAGAGCACCAAGCTTATCATCAAAGAAGCCTACACCTAATTGACTGGCCAACAAGGGAATATACTCTATTATAGCCAGACGTACTCTCCAGTGCCTGTCTTCAGCAAGTTCTACAATGGCTGGTAGTAATGATTGTGATAGCAGATCAATCCCAATAACCTGGCAATTTTACGAGAAAAAAAATCGCATCATTATCTGAAAAATGAATGGACAAAGATGTTGCTGTGATACACCTCCTTTGAACATGTGGAGAAAATATAGAAACTCAATGTTGTACAAAGAGATAAGTAGCTTGGTCAATAGCAAACCTGGTTCACTTGGTCAAGTTTGCTGATAATGTTTAAGCGTACATCAGGAAATTCGTCTTTCAATAGAGAAAGAAAGATTGGAAGAAGATGCTCAATTGTCGCATCCTGAAATGAATATCAATGCCAAGTTAAAAGCTGTAAAATCCAACCAAAATATCTAATGTAGAAAAAAATAGTTAGGTTTTCTTGGATAGATTATGATTGCGAGAATCTTCCAGGCACAGTTACACACATTCCTAGAGATGACAGTGACTAGGAAGAAGAAGATATATAGATGGTTTCAAATAAAAGAAAGAATGTTTATCTCTAAGATGCTAAATCTTCATAAAATATTATGAGCTTACACTCCAAACTATAGAGCCAAATGAATTTTTGTATAGGAGGGAGTATTCATGATATGAGAGGCAAATTGTATCGGTTTTTAATTCTGCTTACCTTACCCAAGACTGGAGCCATTCCCATTATAACTGATGCCAATGCAGATCTGACGTGCTGAGAAGAGTCTGATGATAATTCCTACGTGTAGAGTTAAAGGTAAGCTATTAGTAATAAGCAAACACCGACAGTATATTGGTCCTTTGCATAATATGAAATCAACACACTCCTCTTAAGTGTGTACCTTTACACAGGGAAGAATGTGCTGGATAGCGAGTTCAGGGTTTAAAATGCGACAAAACTTGGTAACTTTTCCAGCAGCTGCTATCCGAACTTCAGCCTCATTATCACGAAGTAGACGAGCATATGCAGGCACCAGATCCGTCCTTAATAAATAAGGCACATGCGAAAGAATCAATGAAATTTATCAAGATAACTCAACAAACATGGACTTCAGTACCAAATACCTCTGAAGCCAGTATTTTATTGTTTGATATAGAATTGCAAACTAAAGGTCAATAATACATTAAACCATAACTAACTTCAACCATCACTGCTTACCTAGTTGGCTCCGGTCCTACAGCTTCACAAAGTTCATAGAGCTGATTTGCAACCATATAACGCACACGCCAGGACTTATCCTGCTCAAAGACGAAAAAATCAAGATAAAGCAGCTTATACATATCTGCCTTACAGCTTTCTCATAGAGCTCATCAGTAGAAAATCCTATCATATTCACACATTTATTCACCTGCGAGAAAGTCACAATCACAGGAAGAATGTGTGCGACACAGTCCTGGGGCTCCAATAATTTCCCAAGAGCAGCACAACCCTCAACAGCCAATAATCTAACCGAATCTTGATCTGACACCAATGACAATCAGATTCTTAAAAGCTATAATATCATTATAATAAGTAAGACACTGAAGCTGAGATGTAGAAAAAAGAAATGCTGCTTAACTTCAGCTAACGGTCAGTGTTCAATGCAGTAACCCTAATACTTGCCTAGTATTCACATCAGTCCCCCCCCCCCAACATATATAGGCTTGATGAAATTTGTAAGAGTATATGCTGGAAAAACGGAACCATATAATAACAGAAAGCATACCATCTTGCGTAAGATCCTCAAACATGGACATAATGTCTGTCTTCAAATGAGCTGATTCAATGGTAGCAGCAAACTTCCCCAAATTGGTTGCTGCAGCTCTGCGCACCATTGGCATGTCATCTTGACAAAGCTGACCATATATTGATCTTAGCTCCGTCTTTAGCAGATCTGGGGCACTTGGGTATGCAATATGGAAAATCCCACATGCTGATACTCTGGCTGTGAACCATTCACCAGCTGAAAGTCGCTGTTAAACAATGACAGTGTTCAGTAATGCTTAAGTCAGTTGCACATTACGAGCAAAGCAATCATTTTTGGTTCCTATACAGACGTATGGTCACAACCACAACCACAACCCAGAAGAGCACTAGAGCCAGAAATATCTGCTGGATGTTCTCTTAGATCAACCAAAATGGACGTAAACAACTCCAACCTACCAAATTCCTAAAACAACTAAAAGGGGAACACTGAACAAGAAAAGCATATTTCCAAACTTTGGGGGACAATTGACAAAGGACCCCAAAAAATCTATGTTCTTCTGATTTTAGTGGCTTAATTTCACAAGTCAGATTCAGTTAGACAGAGCATAGAAAAGAATCAATTAAATCGACCAAAGAGATTTAATAACATGAGTAAACCAGCCTTATCTAACCTTAGCCAGAGGAGTGAAATGCTCAACCAAATCATTCTCCCTCATCTGAGCACCAATTCTGCAAAGCGAATCTACAGCTTTTTCCCTCACGCAAGTTTCCTCAACGGTCGAGAGAGTCTCCAAAGGTGGAAGCAAAACATGTGCATACTCAACCCCTCCTACATACGGAATAAAAACCCCCAACTCTTCCGCCATCGCCAAAAGCACTTCATCATCATCGTCATTGTTCTCACTAAGAAACGGAATCAACTCTTTCCTTGTCCTCTCCTCTCCAAGAGCACGAGCAATGATAGAAAGCCGTCTAATAGAGTTCAATCTTAGCTGAATATCATCGTTTTTTAGCTCGTCGATAAGCACGGCAATCGGGTATAAAGGCTCATCAACCATAGACATCCTGACCAAAACTTAAATCACTCCCTACCTTCAAATAATCCTATACCAAACACAATGCATACATACACACCATCAATACAAAATACGATAAAGTTACAAACTTTAAACTCATTTCTGCCTCTGAGATAATTCAAAGGTAAGCCATTAGCCTCTAAAAATGATTAGAATGGAGAAATGAAACTTTGTGCCGTCCCAATCTAGAGAGAAACTACTTTACCATTCATAAACTAATAAAAAGAGAAGATCTAAACAAATCATTCGATTTGAGATTCTCATATATATATATATATAGAAAATGTTTCTCAATTGAAGAATGATCGAGATTTTACCGATTACGCTGCTTTCCCAGTTCCGAGCGATCTATATCAATCAGAAGAACGAGAAATGAGACCAGACAGAGCTCGTCGTTTCGTAGTAGCCATCTTCAAGCTGCGTCCGTATAATTGGGCCTGTCAAAGATAAGAACTAAATGGGCTTTAGTATAATACAAAAGGCCCATATATCTAATAATACGGCGCCGTTTTAATATCCCTCTCGTATAATAAAGGAAGCTTCTCTCTTCTTCTTCCTCAGAAGATATCGGAAAAAGGAAAAAAGCTGCTCTTGCTCAAGGTTTTTTCTTTCCCGCGCATTATTTCGATAAAAATGGCTCCTAAATCGGATAACACAGAAGGTATAATCTCTGAAAAAAATTCTTCAAGTTCTCTTTGTTCTTCTTCGATTATTGTTACCCGATCTGTTTTTTTTTTTTTTTTCTTCGTCCTCATTTTGATTTCTCTCTTATTTACTTGTTTCTGCAGCTATCGTACTCAACTTTGTAAATGAGGTAAGTACTTCTCTGCGATTCTCCATTTTTGCTTTAATTTTAAACAGATACGACCATAAATTTGAATTCGAAATTGAAAATTGAGGCTAGGTTAAGGTACGCAGTGATATTCACATGATTCTGAATCTGGGAATTTAACCACTTTGGAGGTCAATTTTGCTTTAGCTTACACATAAAGTTTTCATTTGAAGCTATTGAAATCAACTGGGTTTTTTAAAATTGATTTGATACAGGTTATATATTGCAAGCTTTTTTTCAATCTGTTGTGTTATTTTTGTTAGATTTTGATGAATGTGTTGTTGTTACATTTTTGATGCAGCAAAACAAACCTCTAAACACTCAAAATGCAGCTGATGCTCTGCAAAAGTTTAACCTTAAGAAGACTGCAGTTCAAAAGGCACTTGATAGCCTTGCTGATGCCGGAAAAATCACGTTCAAAGAGTATGGTAAGCAGAAGATTTACATTGCTAGACAAGACCAGTTTGAGATTCCAAACAGTGAAGAACTTGCTCAAATGAAAGAAGAAAACGCCAAACTTCAAGAACAACTCCAAGAGAAGAAGAAAACAATCAGTGATGTGGAGTCAGGTGTGAGAAACTTACTTTTGTTAAGTCGTTTTGAGGATGTGATATAGCTGCTCGGATAATGTTATGTTGTTCTGTGACATTATTTGCAGAAATCAAGAGCTTGCAGTCAAACTTGACACTAGAAGAGATACAAGAGAAAGATGCCAAACTAAGAAAGGAGGTATATGTTCTTACCTTTTGGTTTTTGTATTTCTTTGAGTGAGATTGTACATAGCTTAAAAAGTGATTTCATCTGTGTACCAGGTTAGGGAAATGGAAGAGAAACTGATCAAACTACGCGAAGGGATTACATTGGTGAGGCCAGAAGACAAAAAGGCTGTTGAAGATATGTACGCGGATAAGATTAATCAGTGGCGCAAGCGAAAGAGGATGTTCAGAGACATTTGGGATACTGTAACAGAGAATTCTCCCAAAGATGTTAAGGAACTAAAGGTGCAAAATCATATATCTTCACGAGTTTTTTTCTTCCGGACTACATTAGTTTCGCTGTAATGTTTGACTACTGTTACTTTGCAGGAGGAGCTTGGAATTGAATATGATGAAGATGTCGATCTAAGTTTCCAGGCATATGCTGACCTAATTCAACATGGTAAAAAGAGGCCTAGAGGACAGTAATTTCCAGGTAATTTCTTCGAAATTGATTCAAAGTTTTCTAGAAACTTTTTCTTGAATAAAAGACACACATATGCAACTGTTCAACATCATTGAAAGCTTATATCCATAAAGAACAAAATAATCTTACACCCTTGAGCAAAAAAAGAACATAGAAAAATACAAAACTCAGTGGTTAAACCATATAGATGCACCTGAAAAATTATAATATTTGTACTTAGTATCCACGAACCTGTCTGGTCCTGACTGAAACCGGACCCTTCAAACCTGCTTTACGCATAATAGGATCTTCAATTGAATGAACCATGTGGTCCACATGTCTTGTATCCTCTCTATTGGAAGCTCTATTCGAACCAACCATAAGACTTGGCTCATCTTTAGACTTAGGAATAGTATTAGTCTCAACACTAGATTGGGTTTCTTCTTCACTATCGTAGATAACAGTATCGTTCTCCAATAGCTTCACAGGGTCTTCTCTGAATGACATCACTGGGAGATCATCAATAATATCTTCTGAATCCGGCATCGACCTCTTAGATTCTGACCTCACATCCCCTTCCCCTTCTGAAGAATCATCATTACCTTCTTGTTCTTGTTCTGATTCTTTGTTTTCAGAACCATGAAATGAATTTCCCCCACCAATGTTACCCGGACTGTCATGTCCACGAGGAGAAAACTGAGAAAGCTCCACAGCCGCTCGTGCAGCCTCTGCTGCATGAGCTGCTGACTCAAACGCTGCTTGTGCAGCATCAGCCACATCTTTGTACTTCTTCTTTCCTCTCTTGACCGAATCAGATAAACCATAACCTTCTCCTCTCTCATCTTCACTTGTTAGCTTAGCCTTACTAACATCTGATGTTCCCTGCATATGTGTTGTTCCCTGCATATATCATAAATTTGATTAGAACATGATTTTTAAATTTTTTTGTTATCTTTGTGGTTAATTGCAGATTTCCATACCTCAGTGGACGTAGAAGCTTCTTCTAGTTTCAGAACAATGTTATTCTCTGCAGCAATCTCCTTCAAAGCCTTCATTCTAACTTCTTTCGGTGGATGTCTTGTGGACAACTTCTGAATTATCTATAGTAACACCAAAAGAAACATGAAACTCAGTAAGTATCTTGTTTTAATAGGAGGGATATATAATATAACGTATTGAATATAGTATGGGTTGAATCAAACTTCAAACTTGCTTACTTTGGGATCAACCCCACAATTACTGCGCAACTCAATAGACCGCGCAGCGAGATCTTTACCAAAACGTGAAATCAAAACACTACGAATCTCTTGAAGCTCAGGGAATTCACCGATTCTAGAAGCTGCAAAAAGCAAGCCCGAAACAGCTTCTAGAAGCTCTTCAGGACAATCTCTGTTGTGTTCAAAGAGGTGAATACGGTCGATACAGAGAGTGAAGTAGCCATGGATGAAGAAGAGAACGTCCAGGGTGTTTTGGTCTTTGACGACTTGGTCGACTCTATGGTAAGCGTTCTCGTGATGGCCGAGCTTGAGAAGCTCGGTGACATCAGAGATGGCTTGAGAGAGTCTGGCTTGACGCTGGTTCTTAAGAATAGAGAGCCTTGTGAGAGCTAAGGTGATAAGAGACTTGAACTTGTTGGTCTTGAAACTCCGACCAAGCAAAGCGTCAAGCTTCTTCCCCATGGCCGAGTTGCAGAGAGGAGGAGAGAGAAGAGAGTGAATAAGAGTTTACGTTGTCTTCATTTGAATGGAAGAGTTATAAGAGAGACAATAAGAGAAGACGCGTTACGACATACGAAGACTTCTTAGCAACGAAGTTTTCCAGAGTTGGAAAAAACGACCATTACGAAGAAAATGTGGTTCGAATTTCGAAATAATAAAAACAAAATGGACCGCTATTGAATATCACGGGGATTAATTAATCAAAAGACCAAATGGTAAACCAAATTTAAATCGTTGTTGAAAAAAGGAGGATTTGGTAATTGATTAATCAAAATGTGTAGTATATAGGCTAATCCTTAAAAATGTTTTGGAGATTTTTTTGAAATATCTACTTAAAGAGGTGTTATTAGATAATCTTATATATATATATATTACTACTGTTTATTATTTTTGAATTCTTTTTCTTTATGTCTATACATAAAGTTAGTAGAAAATCTTGTGAATTTACTCTCTTCCTTTTAATATTATTACCTACAAATAGATACTTGAACCAGTCTCAAAACATGAAACTAGTACAACACTTTGATAATCTAAATCTGAACCGGCCATTTCTTGTACCATGCATTCTTAAAACAAGAAAATGCATGAAGGATTCAGGTTTCTGGTATAAATTGCATTCTTTAAATTTGGTAATGATTGTGAACGATGGACCCATAATTATTGTTTCATGACGAGGAACGTTCGTGCTGTTCTAATTTCTAGAACTTATTAAAAGTTAAAACAACATTAAACAGAAAAAACGTATAGGATCGGGGAATCCCTCAAGTCCAATTTTTCCCAACTTTCCTTAGAAACTACAAACGAAACACTCATTAACAAAAGTCGTGAAATAGACATACGAGAAATGTCACTGTTACGGCTTTTAATATTGCAATTAATTTAAGAATGACAGGTTTAGAGGAATTATTAAAGCTTTGGATCAGCCATTAGAAATCACACCATTTCCTCTTTATTTGGTGTGACTTCAATTTCATGATCAAAAAGACTACTAAACTCATCTGCACGCAACTTTCCACGTCAAAAACATAGTAACAATAATCTTGTTATTATGATAAAGAGAGAGACTTTTACTTCTGTTAGGTACGAAATATTTTGAAAGACCTGTTTATTTACAAAGGCAATCTTTCTTCTAGACATAATTCTCCCACTTATCTCATGTGAATCAATCACATTATATAAATCTTTTGTGATTCTAGATTTGCAAAACAAACTTCTAATATGCTACCTAATCTTTTTTAATTACATGAAAATGATATAATGTGAATCCACCAACCAAACTAGGCCTGGGCATAATACTCGAACCCGAAGAACCGAACCGAACCCAACTCGAAAAATCTGACCCAAACCCAAACCCGAAGTTTTAAAATACCCGAACGGGTTCTAAACTTTACAACCCGAAAACCCGAACCCGAACCCGACTCGAATCCGAAACCGAACAAGTATCCGAACATACCCAAAATATAAGTACATAGTTATAATATATTAGTAATATTTATACTTGTAATAATCTAAGTGCCTAAATTATTCGGATGTTAAGATATTTTCGGGTGTTTTAGCTACTTTGGGCTATATTCGGGTTAAACTACTTGAGTTTTATAGATTTTTTTGAGTATTTTTCAATACTTTGCATAATTTCCTAGGCCCAAAGACTAATCTACGAAGTCTTGCATCTGGGTACGCTTTACCCCATTGTTAAGGGAGCGGGTAGGTGGCCAACCTGAATCGAACCCAGGAGGGGGAACTCACAGCCGTGAGCCCTTTACCAACTGGACCAACGTGGGTTGGTTATAAATTCTTATCGTCGTCGTATTGAATTTCTTCATCATGTTTCTTATCACAATGATGACGGTGGCCATGCTTGCGATGGTGCTTGTGTTGACGCTTCGAAGATTTAACGACCTCATTAGACGGCGGAGACGACCGTCAATGCTTGCGGTGGTTTGATTCTACATGCTTGTCGCTCACCATCAAATCGTCGAAATTAGGAGAAAAATTAAAAAATTATGGTTAGATTCGATTTTGTCGCGCGCTCTCTCAATTTATGTAGCCTGAACCGTATATATAAATTAACGAATCCCCGATTTACACGTTATTCCAGTTAATTCGACCGGTTGTCAGATTTAATGATCTTATATACAATATTTTATTAAACCTAATTTACCTAAATACCGAACTTCGTAAAAAACCAGATTAAACAGTCAACTTGACCAATCCTTAAATCTGGCATAATCGGGTAGACCAACTTCGTTAGTTCAACCAATTCCATGTATGATTTGATTTCAAAAGCATTGGTTATGTGAAACATCCGTAATCAGTAGTTCAGTACCAAAACATAATTCGTAGTTGTTGTTGGTTTTGGGCTATAGCTTATGTTTCATGGGCCAGGCCTCTGTCTGAAACTGAAATCAGACTTGCCGTTTTATATGAGTTGGAACATAAAAAATAAAAGTTGACAGAGAGATACTTAAATTTCACATTAACAAAAGCTATGCAAAAAAAGTTCTTGGAAGAAAAAAACAAGCGAATTCGCTTATACTACTAATCTAGCAAATTACACCAACTAACAAAATATTTAACTTTTCCTAAATCCTGATAATTTTAATTAATAGACATTTAACCATCTATTAAAAAAAAAAAAAACGCCAGGGAGAGCCAAACGCTTTACAAAACGGTATCGTTTTCATTTCCCACCTAATTAAAAAAAGAGTTTGTTATTTTTATTCCGCCGGTAACGACTCCGACCGCCACGAAAACAGATCGCCGGAATCAAAACAATCGTCGGAAAATTCAAACAACCCCTCAACAGCCACGTAATCTCCACCGTCTCCGACGCCGGAACCAAAATCCAAATCACCGTAATTCGTCACGTGATTTTCAAATCCCCAAATCTCGTCGATTCCTGACGAATCAGACGACGCTCGTACCAAATCCGTTAACGTCTCCGTCGTTTCCTCCTCCTTCGCAACGGGAACCGGAGAAATCGATGGAGGCGGAGGTAAACCAAGCTCGTCATCGGAAGCTTCGAGAAGATAACCGAGATAAGGCTGAGTTTCGCCGGCGGAAGAGCCTTGCCCCGTCGTGGTGGTGACCGTTGATAACTCGTCTTGGAAACTTTTCATAACCGAGTCGAGATCTTGACTCACTGGTTCAGGATCAGAGTCATCGAGAACATCGAATAAATCATCTCTCAACCTCTTCACCTCCGGCGAGTCAAGAACCGCTTCGTCGGATAACTCGTCTCTAACTCGCTTTTTCTCGGCTGAGTCCGTCCGAGTTATAGCCAACAACTTCTTCTCCTCCTCCATAGCTTTTAGCAATTACGTTTTTTTTGTTTGTTTTTTGAATCAGTGGCAAAATCGAAAATAGTGGGGGATAGAGGTGCAGAATGGGAAGAAGGGAACACGAGATTATATAGTAGGGGAGAGAGAAGAGAGAGATAGAGAGAGAAAGAAGGAACGCGTGAGATGTGACGGATACTGAAGCGCGTGGCGAGAGCGAATCCTTTGGAATCACGGATCCCTTGCCTTTTTTTATTTTTTTATTTTTTATTTTTTTGTTTTTTTGTTTTATTTTTTTTAGAAAATAGTAGTATATTTATTTTGAAAACTTCCAGATGTCGCTTTCTAAATTTAAAAGCATTATAAATTGGTTTGAATTCAGATTTGAAGTCCGGTCACGTTGCAGTGCACATGCCCAGTCAATTACGCCCTCTGGATTTTTTTCTTTTTCTTTTTTTTAACAAGATTTTTTTCAAAGATAATTATCTCTTAAGTCTTAACCAGTTTTAGACTTATGGATTTTTCTAGAAAACTATCTCATGTAATAACAAACATAGAATATTGATTTTTTTATGACGACAGAAAAAAAAACTAAAGAATTTAAAATTATTTGTCTGTTAGCAACAAATAAATTTTCTGTTTTCTATTTTCGATGTTTGCCATGTCATATTAACGAAATTAATGGAATAAATACTGTGAACACGTAAGAGATTAACGTTTGATCAAATTGAAAATCAGCATAATATAAAAATGTTAGTGGTAGTATTTGTCCAGTGGTCATAGACGTTGGGTGGTCCTTAGCACTCTATCTATATTCAACTTCATGGTACAGTTTTTATATATGTATTCATCTATGTTGCATGAAAACGGGAACGGGTACGCGAAAACGGAATCGTTTAGAAGCGCTGAAGCGATTTTTTAGAAAATTTTACGGAAGCGGTACGCGATGGAAGCGTATAGTATATATAAAGAATATATATATATATGTATATATATAACTAAATATTAAACATTATATCATATTACAAGTTATATTAACCCCACAAATCTAATAAATAAATTTTAAAAACTAAATTTAAAAATTAAACCAATTTTTACAACAAACAAAATCAAATAATTCAAGAAAAAAATTATAACACTATATTCATTCTTTTTTTAAATAACATCAAACAAAATCGTTTCAAATTATGTATATTATAGGTAAAAATATTATCAAACTCAAGTCTCTCGAAATTAATCTAAATTAATTAATCATTTATAATATCTCTCACATATTAGATTCATGTCATTGCTATTTTCTAAACATGATTTTGTTAAAAATAAAATACAAATATTAGTATGCAAAATTTTTAGTTTGAGTTTGTTTGTATAAAAATAATAATTTCATGTTTTATTTGTAAAATTGAATTTATAAAATGGAAGCGCAAGCTTCCAAACCGGAATCGTAAGCTTCCAACGAGCTTCCAAAGTGGAATTTTTGGAAACGCGATGGAAGCGAGATTCCGAAAGCTTCTAAAAACTTCCGATTCTGACTAAGATTCCGAAGCGGGAAGCGGACCTCCGACAAAGATTATGTGCTTCCTAGATATTCATATAAACTTTTTATCTACTGATTTTTTTTAAAAAAGTCTTTGATAGAAAACTTTGCTAACTATTTATCTATTACTTTATATTAAAACCATTGGTCCATGTCGAGCTATGTGAATACTTTTTTATATGAAGATTTCATTCATATATATATCTCTATGCTTTTGATCATTTACACGTAAACGTAAAAGTTTTATGGGGCATAAATCAAATTACTTTTTCCTATGTTCATATTTAGAAATGATAGGACGCAGACAACATTTCCACTACGAGTTTGCTATTGTCTCATAATATCATAGTAAATAAACAACAACATGTATGACCACATCGAATTAAAGTTAGATTTCACATCATGATATGGGAAACGCTAAATTGATTCAACAATCTATAATACTTCTTCATCAATAAAGAAACTTTGCGGAATAATATATAATTTATCTTTTAAAACTTTGCTGCACAAGATTTTTTTTTTTTTTTTTGCGTTAATGGTATGAAATCGAGATAAAACAACCTTAATCTAATGGTTTTGTTATTTCTTTTAAATATATCATCTTGTATGGTATTACTATAGGGAACCTCTATTAAAAAAGTAGGTTGATGTTGAAAAATTTTCGAGTTTTGGAATAAGGTGTGGATTTAGACAAAAGGTGATTGTTTTAATTGGTGGGCAATGGGCATCTAGTGTTGCCAATATACTTGGTTTAAGCAAAGTTGTGATTCTTGGGTAATACATATATATTTATCGATCCATTACCTTAATTTCTTCTTCTTTTTCAAATCGAACCATTTCTTTAAAAAAAAAAAAAAAGAGAGAATATGATTGCATTATCAAAGATGCACGTTTCTCTTTTTTTCGGTATGACATTTCGAGCAGTCCATATCAAACATATTGGTACGATTTTTTGGTGGTGAGTGACCTAAAATTTATTTGCTAGATAAGCAAAGAACATATAACACTATATTTTAACAAAAAAAAAAAACATATAATACTATATTGAATATCCATCCCACTAACGTTTTCTTTTTTCGCCCGATTATTTTTTTACTTATAGAAAATTTTAGGATGATCATATATAGGATCAAATGATCTTATGAGTTATGACTGACCTAAATTTTTATGGAAAATAATCGTGTCAATCACTATAATGCTAATACGTTTTAGTTTGAATCATTCTATATACCTTGTCAATTTGATAACAACGAAATTAAATTACTGATATCTTTTTTTTACCTCTTTAGCATTTCTTTATTGTAGAATGACCGCGCTATTGCATGTATTTGACTGGTTTTCTATATATCATACACACTTAGAATGGTTCTATTGCCTTTAAATTAACCCTTGTTTAAAAGGAAACGTACATATTATAGGTTTATGGATACAATAATACATAATTTAATTTTGAGAAATATAAAAGTTAGATGACAACAAAAGTAGGTACAGAAGACAAAATGTACCTCTTCGGATATTTGGATGGTTTTAATTAGTTTTATTCAGAATTTATCTATATCACATTTTTTTTTGTCGTCAATCTATATCACTTAAGTATGCATATACAACGTAGGCCTACATGATATTCGCCTCATCGTGCAAATCATACACGTATCAAGGAAATATATATCAATGAAACTTTGTCAAAATTTAAAATAAACCCAAGGTCCACTTGCATATCAATAAATTGACACTTAATAAAACTCTACACGTATTTATTTACGTACTCAATCAAACTTAGAAAACCTCTAAAATGTCAACTAAAAACCATGAGCAAAAACATCAACCTAGTTGATATGATATTGGAAAACCACCATAAAGAGTTCTTAATATTTATTAAAATTGACAAGTTAAATGAACAAATTATTGGAAACGTTTAGACCGATATATCTGATGTTCTTTGTGCTCCATTCCAAAAACATTTCGTTTGCGTAGACGCACAAACTCGTGATCAATTTATTATGTACATATGTATAACCATAGTTTACTTGAAATATTGTATGTTAGCATCAATTTATTTTACATTGATCATAAATTGAAATATGTATATATTTAATTTTCATGAATAGAATTGTCTTAAATTCAGACACTTGAAATATGTATATCCAAATATTTAGATCAATATTTATGAATGAAGCAAAACTGTAAAACATACTAAAGTGTTTTCACCTAAAAAAATATCATATCATTTTGCAATCGAGTCTTAAAATTCTGTTTAATAGTAACTTTTAATTAATGTTTACTTTGTCTAAACGAAATCTTTGTAATTCGAAAATAATTAAAAGTTTGAAACAACACTTAAGTATATGAATAAAGTAATATTGATATTCTAAAAACGAAATGAAAGAAATACCTGAAGAACGTTACAGTTTTTTATTAATCATCATCCGATGATTAAAAAAACTATGTGAACTACATAAAGATTATAATAAAAATTAATTATATGTATGTTTTTTGCGTCTACAATTAAAATTCCCTAATACAGCATAGATGCGCAGAAGTCTTCTTGTATATATTTTTAGAGGTTTGAAAAAACAAAAGTACTTATATATTAAAAACTAATCAAAGTGGAGGTGAAGCATAATTGTGTTTTGTGAGTGGTAATGCGCATGTTGGATATGAATATCAAACTGGGGACAGTTTCAATCTATCGTATGTTTTTTTTAATATCAATATACCAGAGCATATACTAAGGGTTTTATTTTTATACGTTTAAATCAAAGCAGTCGAATAAATACGTAAGTAAATACATATACTTGATTGTGTTGTGTTTTTTTTTTTCATTTAAAAGATTGTATAAGGCCCATTCACAACGCATCACGTGAGTACAAAGCAATCAAAGTACACAACCACAAAGTAAATTACGTGGTCCCCCACCAACGTTCCATGTTATCTATTCTCTAATAAATTTGTATTGACATTATTTCAGAATTTCGTTAAGTATTATAAACCTATCAATATTTTCGGGATTGACATTTTTTTCACCTGAAATTTATTTATTTAATACTCTCTTTTTCAAATTATAAGATATGTTTCAATCCAAGTCAGATGTTAAAAAAAAAAATATGTTGAGTAAAAATACAAAGTTCAAAAAGGTAACTAAGATTTATTTTGTTTTGTATTTTTTACATTAAAACATAATTTAATACATAACTAAGAATAATCTGGCCAATAATAAAATTTATTGCATAATACTCTCTCTGTTTCACAAAGAGTATCATTTTGACACATTTCACACAAATTAAGAAAATATTGAATTATACATATATACCCCTATTTAATAAGTGATTAATGATTTAAATTCAATGAAAAGTAGCTTTAAGTTAAGGGTAAATCAGAAAATTTTGTGTAAAAGTCACATTGAAAATGTAGAATGACACTTTTTGTGAAACAATAATCAAACTCTAAAATGACATTTTTTGTGAAAGAGAGTGAGTACTAATAGTCACAAAATTGAATGAATTTAATTTTTGGTATTAAAACTTGATTTTTTTCTAAATATTTTATATTGTGAAATAAAACAAAATTTCTAACATCATATAATATGCATGAAAAAGCTGTCCATATTTTAAGGGTGATTCAAATGGATTAAATTAGAGATTTTATATACCAATTTGCATTTAGTTAAATTAGATAGTAGTGAAAACAAAAATTGATAGTTGGTAGATTTCCATGTGCACACCAAATTTTTAGTATGGCATACATTTGCATTTAAAAAGTTATTATAGATAGGTAAAGTAATTATCATCTGATATTTTGGCTACTCTAAATGCCAATGAAATTTAGTTGAACTTTAGCTGTGTTTTATGTTTTTGTTATTTCATTCAACATTTGGACAAAAAAAAAAAGGTTATTCATTCAACATTTTATCTTATTATATGTTAAATTTTGAAATCCCCAGCTAAAATTATATCTCAAACATTATTAAGCATAATAGAAAATATTTTGTTTGTAATGAAAATAGGGATTATTGTCTGAAATGTCATTTTT